TCAACAGGTCACCTCTCTTATTGTATAGGATAGTGCCAAATTTTTTATGGATGCACTTATAGCTCAGATGCTCATGAAGGTATATAATCAATTGTTGTAATAGCCATCTTGAGCTAAATTTCACTATTCCTTCTAGGCCTTTCAACTCATACGAAGCATTGGTAACTGTATCATCATCTAATTCAAAGCCATAAGAACAAAGAAACATTCTGCTGACATCAGGAAGTAAGAGAGCACGGTCACTGAGCAGAGATTGAGCTACGTATATAGCAGCTTGTTGGATACAAGAGGCAAGGTGGTCTTGTGTGTTGCTCAGTTTCTCCTTCATTGAAGCAATTATCTCTGAGAGTGATTGCTTTGGTAAGTCATTACTTTCTAATATTGTTACATGTAGTTTATAACATGTGGAACAGATGTAGTCTGTGGGGGTTAAGTGTAACTCAAAGCCAGCTGTTTCAAAAAAGTGAGCACAGATCAATTCAGCATTAGGACTATGCCTTGTAAATGCTGTTCCGCGTAATGGTTTTATGCCACAGCCAGTGCAAGGAACAGTTGGCATGGCTGTCTCTCGATATACCATCTGATAATGCTTATTGCAAAGTTTATGAGGAGGTGGTACTTTTAGTACTGCTTCTAGTACCTCCGTAGACACAAAGCTAGGTACTATTAATCGATTTGTACATGTACACGTAGGATAGCTACATGGCACTGTGTCAAATACCACTTCAATGTTACGTGTATGATCATTTCTTTTCCATCTAGGAATGTAATTGTCCTCACTGCAGTGTTTCGATGCTTCAACATGGTCAGCTTTACAAATGCAACTGCTTTCAGGAGGATGACTACCTTCAAGATTCTTCACAATAAACTGCTTCTCTTCATCACTGAATGTTGCGTAGTGATCATAATATTTATGTTTGCTGCCACATAAGAAACACTTACAACATAGTGTACCAGGATGATATTTAGCAGCCATAACCTATATGTTATAATAAGAATCTGTGTGAATGTTTGTTTGTACTATTGAGTTAAAAGTCTACCTGTGTGTGTCTAGTTATTACAGGGAATAAAGAGCCCTTTTGTTAGCTGCCTTAAAAGAACGGGACACCAACTTTTATGTTCTCTGATGATAGGAAAAACTATTCTTGATACAGGATATATCTTGATGGAGCTGTAACTACTGTAAAACAGCTAGTACTAAAGCCAGAAAGAGTTCCCACTTGAACGAAGAATTTGATTTTTGCAGCTGTATTAATTTGTCTAATGTCTAATTGTCTATCCTATCCCACCAAAAGTTATATACACACATAGCGGCTGATTTGCCTAGTACTATGTTGTCATTATTACAACAAAGAAGGAGTACAAGGATAGATAAAAACTAAGAATAGAATTCACAGTTTACATAGGTTTACATTACTGCGCTGCTTTGTGTGCAATTAAAAATCAAGTTTCCGGTGGATTTCCTGACGGGTGCGGTTCGACTGAATGTA